TCAGCGGCCGATGCCAGTGGCCCGGGTGCCTGCCCTGCCCTGCCTGCCCTGCTGCTCCCCCATCAAGACAGGTGTGAGAGCCAGGCTGAGAGTCAGAATCCCACGTTCGGACCCAGCCCTCCTCCGAGCTCCCTGAGTGCCTCCTCCCCGCAAGTCCAGCACCAACGTGGACCTCTGCCCCTTCTACGAACTTGATGCCCAAGGCCAGTGCGACGTTCCCCATTTCCCTGAGGTCCCCCCGTCCGTGCCCACCTCCTGTCTCCACCCTCCCATCTCATTATGGTGGGTATCGCCCAGCTCAACCCTCGCGGTGACTGGGATACGGCGGCCTGGCGATCGTTCCGCTCAGAGATGCTACATTTCTAGCGGGCACGCCTGGAGTTACAGCCTCCGCAGCCCCACAGGCCTCACGCCGTGGCCAAGGCCGCGGGCACACAGCCTGGCCCACGCTTCCCAGCCGGGCGGGGTCACAGAACCCAGATAGGTGCCACGTGGAAGGACGGAATGGTTGCACGGAGGAAGATGAATGAAAATCCACTCGTCACGTTCCTATTAAAGCCCCAACTGTACGCCGGCCGCTGAGGGTGGAGCCCCTGCTCTCCTACCCTTTCGTCCATTCTTGCTGTTGCCCGACATCTCTCTTCTCCCCCGTCCATCCCAGATGCGTTCAGGGGAACGAAGGGGGAACCAGTTCATCTGGAGGAGGGCAGAGCTGGGAGGGAGGAGGGGAGGGGGGCACCGCGGGGAAGGAGGCCAGGCCAGAGCGCAAGGTGGGCCCAGGTCCAGTCTAGTCCAAATGCTTTCCTTCTTTTTTAATATCTATACACATAAATATCTTTTAAATATTCTTATTGATTTCAGAGAGGAAGGGAGAAGAAGAGAGAGAGACAGAAACATCGATGATGAGAGAGAATCATTGATCGGCTGCCTCCTCCTGCACGTCCCACACTGGGGATCGAGCCCGCAACCCGGGCATGTGCCTTGACCAGGAATTGAACTGTGACCTCCTGGTTCATAGGTCGATGCTCAACCACCGAGCCATGCCCCTGGGCCAAACCTTTCCTTAAAGGCTCAGACAATAATTTTCAGCTTTGTGAGCCACACGGTCTCTGATACAACTACCCGTCTCTGCCGCTGTGGGCGGGCTGTGTTCCCATGAAACTCGCAGAAACAGGTAGTGAGGTGGGGTGGCCTACAGGCCACAGTCAGTCAACCTTTATTCTACCAGAAGGCTGCTGGACTTTATCCTGAGGGCAGAAGAGAGGCACTGGAGGTTTTGTTTTCACTTTCTAGCTCTTTGTATGTTAACCTTGTAGCCAGGCACCTTGCTCAACCCACTAATGAGATCTAATAATTTATCTGTACCCTCTTGATATTTTGTGACAGGTTCCTGACACTTGGAAGTAATGACAGTTTTATTTCTTACTTCCCAATACTGATATGTTTTATTCCCTTTTCTTACCTGATTGCATTGGCCAAGACTCAATAGAGGTTCTTAAACAGGGGAGCCACACGATTGGGTTTGTGTTTTGGGGTGGTCACTCTGGCTGCAGAGTGGAAAGTGGAAGGTGGGATGGAGGGGAACAGATGGAGGGAAGATTTTCGAAGAAAGTGAGGAAGAGATGGCTCTAGCCCTGAGCTCAGCTCCCCCAGGCCCTCCCCGGCGGGTGGGCCACCAGGACTGCAGGTGTGAATGGGCTCTCCCGCCTCCTCTCTGCAGACCGGGGACGCTGCTCCATGGGCCGGTGTGAGTGCGAGCCCGGCTGGACAGGCTTGAGCTGTGACTGCCCTCTCAGCAATGCCACCTGCATCGACAGCAATGGGGTAGGCCTGGGCCTGGGGCAGGCAGTGTGGGGCGGCAGAGGCCTGATCGGACCCCCCACCCCCTCGGGCAGGGGTAGGGGTGCAGAGGGCTCACCGGTGCCTCCTCTTGCCTCAGGGCGTCTGCAATGGGCGTGGCCACTGCGAGTGTGGCCGGTGCCACTGCAACCAGCAGTCCCTCTACACAGACACCACCTGCGAGATCAACTACTCGGCGGTGAGGCCAGGATCGCTGGGGGGTGGGCATGGGGACCCTGGGCACAGGGCAGGGTGGGCAGGAGGGGCTGAGCCTGGTGCTGCGGGAGCCGGGCGAGGGTGCGAGGCTGGGGGAGTGGGCCTGGCAGAGGCCTGCCCAGCACAGGGTTCACCGGCCCCTCCCTCCCACCAGGTCCGTCTGGGCCTCTGCGAGGACCTGCGCTCCTGCGTGCAGTGCCAGGCCTGGGGCACGGGCGAGAAGAAGGGGCGCACGTGCGAGGAGTGCAGCTTCAAGGTCAAGATGGTGGATGAGCTTAAGAACAGTAAGGAGCAGGGGCCGAGGATCGGGGGTGCCGAGAGCCCAGGCCGGGGCATTCAGTGGGGTACGAGGTGTCACTTATCTGGACAGGGGTACAGAGCTGGGCAGAGGCCTCCTAATCTAAACGGAGGCTGCGCAGCCCTAGCCGGTTTGGCTCAGTGGATAGAGCGTCCGCCTGTGGACTTGAAGGGTCCCAGGTTCGATTCCGGTCAAGGGCACATGCCCTGGTTGCGAGCTCGATCCCCAGTGGGGGGCTTGCAGGAGGCGGCCAATCAATGATTCTCTCTCATCATTGGCGTTTCTATCTCTCCCTCTCCCTTCCTCTCTGAAAGCTGCCCAGTCCAGATAAGGGTTCCAGACCTGGGAGGGGTCCCGGCATCCAGGCAGGAGGCACACAGACCCGGGCCACGGGCACAGCTGATTAGGGACCAAAGAGTGTGGGAGGGGGCACCGGCTTGGGCAGGGGCGTGAGCACAGCACCCTTTTCTTCCCATCCATGCGGACCACAGCGTCCACTCCTCTG